TTACCGAATCCGTTTTTCGAAATTCAATTTTCGTCTCCAGTGGGAATTTAACTTGTACTCCACTTCTTGGGGGTGCGACAACTTCACCACTTCACTAAGTCATCACACCCTTTCTTCATTATTTTCTTATTTGTATCTTTTATTATATTGTTATATCTCTATGTTTTTTATATATAGTTTTTCTTTTTCTTTTACTTCTTTATGAAAAGATATTATCAGATTGATGATATCTTATTGTAGAATAGAAAATAGATAAGCTTTCTAGTTAGATATTATCTTAATTAATTATACTCTATTGATATAACAAGTTATCTGTAGATACTCTAATAATTTAAATTAGAATCATCAAAAAATTTTTAAATAGAGTAAATATCAATTATCAGCTATAGGGGTGATTGTTATCAATTAAAAAATTTAATAATAATCTATATTTGATTATTAATTGATATATAAAGATTGTAATTGATTTAATAATAATTGATTATAATTAATTAGATGTTTGCAATCAATTAAAATATAATCAATTATAATTAATTAGATAGTTATAATCGATTAAAAAGCAATCAATATTAATCAATTCAGTTGATTTTTAATATAAGTGGGCATATATAATTACTATACAATTATAATATATATAAATTAACTATTTTAAACTAATTTAAGTAATTTTATAAATTATTAGAGTTAAGATTAAAGTTAGAATTAAATTGGCTTAAATTAATTAGATTTTATATAGTATTATCTTGTAATAATTTATATATGCCTACTTATACTAAAAAGATCTATCAATTCTTATAATAAATTGATCATTAGTGATAACTTTTGTGAATAACTAATATTTTATTGCAGGCAAAAATTTTATTATTTATTGCATAGGTCTTAGTAACGATCTATACTTTTTTATTTTTATATATTTAGTTAAATCAGAACATTAATATAAATTGATAATTATTTTTTTTCTGTTTCACACATATTTAACTTTTTTTTTTAATTAAAAGCATCATCACTTTTGTGGTACTATTACTTTTTTGGTATTATTATTTTTTTTATATTATCACTTTTTTGATATTGTCATTTTGTCTGGTGCTGTTATTTTTTTAGTATTATCACTTTTTTTAGTAGCATTAATTCTGGTCTTTTTTTTTGATATCATTGCTTTTTCTGATACTGTTGTTTTTTCTGGTGTTGTTGCTTTTTCTGGTAATATTGATTCTGATTTCTTTTTCTGATATCATCACTTTTCCTAA